CAAGAAATAAGAAATCCGTATTAAGAAATTGGCTGACTTCGGCTGGTCCTTCTGCCCAGAATAAGACATTAAAGCTCGACCCGATTTCGACGTTTATTATATCCGGGCGCTATCTGTACACACCTGGAGTAGTGATCAGCACGCAAGAAGTTGGTGTCAGTCACGAAGTGATTCATATTTGATTTCTAGAATTGTGTACCTCCTTTGCGGGATAGTCGGCTTGTGACCACGGAGTAAGGTGTCCACGTCAGTTGGACCAGTACGGACGTGAGCGGAGACCGGGTTTTCATAGCTTTCATGAGGCACGCCGATAAGGGTGCTTTTTTGCTTTTTCAAGAAAAACGCTTGTTTAGAGGGATCGTGATGTATGATGTACACGGGGCGCGATGATAAAACCCACCAGACTGGAGCCCATTTCGCCATCTAGGCACCAAATGGCTATGTTGGACTTCTGCACAACAAGTAGCAGTTTGCCCGAGGGCTGTCGCAACTGCTTCCCGCTTGATCCGTACTCAGTATATTGAGTTACGACATGTGTCGGATTGACGCGTCCCCGAGACCGAGGAGGAGGCGTCATTTGTTTGGAACAAGGTTCTCTCTGCCGCTGCTGGTAGTGACACACGCCAGGGAGGAGAGAGACGGAAGGGTGTGACCTTTACTACATGTAAATTCTGCTGCTGCTGCTGTTTTGGCTACCGGCGGAAGCGAGAGAAGAAACACGCTTTGTTGACTAGTTGTTTCACGATCTCGAGAGAAGGGGGCACCGTAGGTAAGAGAGAATTGATAGGTAGGCATGTGTAACGGAAAGAAAAGAAAAAGAAAGATATGCACCTTGCTCACAACAGAAGAAACATCTGAACGAAAGAGCAAGACAACAAACAAACAAGAGGAGGAGTAGAAGAGAGACAGAGGAGGAAGAAGAAGGAAGCGAGTGTACGGAAGGGAGGAGACAGACAGAGAAAGAGAGCAAGAGAATCGTCGGTTCGTTTTTTTTCAACTTCGGCCGACCCGGCGCTTGAGCGCGGGGGCCGGGATCCTGCTGCCGAGCGCGGGGTCCCATGCCGAATACGGTAAGGCTTGGGACCTTGACACCGATGCGGCGCCGCGACGAGGAGGAGGAAGAGCAAGGTGGATGGCAGGGCCAAGGAAGGGGAGAGGACCGGGGGCTCGCCGCAGAGGGGCGGAGGTGAGAGGAGGAGGTCGTTGAGCCAGGGTGAGCGACGGGTGACCAGAATAGAAGGCATGGGGACTTT